TCAGTTTTTTATTCCTAGTTCGGACATTTACCAAACGCAGGTCAATACCCCTATTGAAACAACAAACTCATAGGTAGCTTCCGAAGCCTCGATGGAGTAGTGGATGGATTCAACCTTTGTTGCTGGACGAGTCACCTCGTCGTACCTAATTGGAGATATATAGCGCTCCTAGGTGTCGCAAGCAAATCACGTAAATCGTGTGACAGGAGACGCCGCATAGGAGGTCTGGCTGTTTTCATACTAGCTATAACATGTCTACTTACCAGGCCCCCCTCTTCCATTATTTGCATACAGATCGTGATAACCCCTTATATTGTACTCCAGCACATGCAGCGACACAAGGGCAGCTGATAGAAAACATATGCGTCACTGTCTTCCCCTTCTTATATGAAAAATCCATTGTAGTCAACATCATGTCCGGCCTACTTGAGGTATAAATAAGAGTTTCAGGATCAGCCACGCATTATTTGATTTGATACCACTCTCAATTATATAAACACAATACATACATATATGCTTAGAAACCCACGTGGAAGGAAAATTCGGCGAAGAGGGTTTTTGTTGTGATCTATTGGGCTACCTAACCTCAAACAAAACATGGCCTCTAAGTACCAAGCTAGAATGAAGATACATACATACATATACATACATACATACAGCCAAGGAAAGGATTTATGTTAGGTACTTGCTGAAACCGCCTTGGCGGAGTGGCTGAGACTCTTGGTAACAATCTATTTCACCTTGGTTTTCCTTTGTTTTTTTGGGGGGGGTTGGTGTGTGTGAAGTTTCCCGAAAACGGACAGGAGCTCTCCTTTCCCCGGTGGCGATCACGTGAGGGGATGGATGGATGAGCTGTACGACATCAATTCAAGATACCTAGGCTAGGTTAGTCTAATAGATAAAATAAAGGGTCCGTGGTAGTTAGGTACCTGCGATTTTATCATCCCCGTTACGACAGAACCTCTCGCCCAGTTTGTGGGTGGGTGGTCGGACACACACACACACACACAGAGAGAGAGGGGGGGGGGGGGGGAGGGAGAGGCTGGGGAGAACGCGAAGCCATACAAGTTTCCAACCGTTATATCAGGATGAATAGCAAGCAAGGGTGGGTGAGTGGATGGCAATCGATGACAGGTCAAATAGGTACAAACTTCAAAAACATCTATTTTTCTTTACCCTCTACCAATAGGGGAGGGGATGGATATTTTTTGTTTCTTATTTAAGCTGATCATGGACTGACTAGTGTGTAACTATTGCTAATGATGCCCATTGAGCTTCTTCTATATCTAAAGCAATTATAACACTTATAAGTCTCCGAGTGGGAATGAAAACCTGACAGAAACTAATGATCTAGATGCATAAGAATTCGTGGCTACCCTGCCACATCATGTGATACCCAGTGATTCTCAAGCCACCGCAGCAAAGTATCTAACCTAGTGATGGCCGACAGATACTTTGTTTGTCCATCGGAATTTATGCTCCCCCTAGTCGTTCCATGGGATAACTTACATCATCTCCACATAGAACTGGTCTAAAACCTAAGTTGTAACTTACTAGAAACTACCCATCCCTATGCATCTATCTTAGAAGTGAGTGTTCTCACTCACTCCGTTTACGAGTTTATCTCCATGCTTCTCCTGGTGGCGGATCTCCTGGATCACCTCCTCAAGGCACCCTGCGCTGGCAGCCACGAAGCCGAGGTATGTAGGTGACGGGGCAAGGACACGCGAGGTGAACTCAGGATGTGCCTGCACTCCCACGAAAAAGGGATGGTCCTTTAGCTCAACGACTTCCATCCGGTTGCCCGTCTCATCCTTGCCAATGAAATTCAGTCCGGCTTTCTCGAGCTCCCCAATATATGCGGGGTTCACCTCGTAACGATGTCTATGCCGCTCCTCCATTACTGTGGAGTTTCCGTATAAGGCTCTGAGCTTGCTCCATTCGCTTCCAGTTTGGAAGTGAGTTAGTTTTGTACCAAGTCTCATTGTGCCACCCATGATCTCTTTTGATCCCTCTGGCATAAAGATAATAACTGGATGCTGGGCTTGGGGGTCAAATTCCTCCGACGTAGCATCTTTGTAACCGCAAAGGCTCTGTGCTGCTTCAATAACAGCGACCTGCATCCCAAGACAGATGCCCAAGTAAGGGGTACTGCACTCACGGGCCCACTTGGCAGCCTTGACCATTCCGGGCACTCCTCTACCACCGAACCCACCCGGACAGAGACCTGCATTGGAATATATATGTTAATATACTGAGGATGGTTATGGCTAAACGCTCGACATTGTCTTGTTCGTCTTAGGAAAACATTGGGAACGAGGAACTACTTACATCCGGAAGCGATGGTCAGCTGAGACCAGGCCCTGTGGTACGTAGTTGGATCGCTCCGCAATGTGGCATCCTCGAGGTGTTCAGCATCGATCCATATCAAGTTAAGCTTACGGTTGCACTTCATGGCTGAATGCTCCAGGGCTTTGATCACCGAAAGATAGCCTATAACATGATTAGTTTCTTCTTGAAAGCCTGAGATTTTTTGGCTGAGGTAAGGGATGGGGTGCCCAAAGAAAGCATGCGTAGGTGCTTACTGTCAGGTAGAGCAATATATTTGCCGACTAGTGCAATATTGACTGGGTCTAGGTGGGGTTTCGTGACAACCGTCTTCTTCCAAAGCTTCCACAAGCTTGAGCCTTTCTCAACTAAGGTTGGCGGGGGTGGTACTTGGTCTAGCATCAAACCCTCACGGAGGCGGTCGAGAAGACCTTGCTCCTCAAGTAGTAGTGGTACTTGATAAATCGTTTCTATGTCCCGAACGGTGATAACTTGCTTGTTTTCGACTTGGCAGCTCCGAGCGATTTTCTGCATAGTAGCGTCATCAAGAGGACGCTCGCAACGGCAAGCAATCTAACCAAGCTGTTAGTCATTAGTTAAGCAAAATAATGAGGCACATACTAGGTCTGGAATCAAGCCCGCACTTCGCATTTGCCGGATCGCGTGCTGGGTAGGTTTGGTCTTCTCTTCCCCGTGGATTATGGGCACGTAGGAAACGTGGATGTTAATCAGGTTTCCCTTGCCCACCTTGTAGCGGAACTGGGTCAATGCCTCGACGAAAGCCATGCTCTCAATGTCGCCGACGGTGCCACCCTGGTAGAAGTGAGTTAGACATGGTGATATAGGGATGAAGACATGGGAGTCTGTTTAGCTGCCTGGCAACAGGCGCCATTGGACATACCAGCTCAACTAAGAAGCGAATAGGTTAGGAACAAGGAAACTTCAGGGGTTCGAGTAGCACCAACCAATACAGACATCAGGCTCCTCGCCACTGTCATCAACAGGAATCCGGGCAACTCGCTGGATCCAGTCCTGGATAGCATCGGTTATATGAGGAACAACCTGGACGGTACGACCTAGATAGTCTCCTTTCCGTTCACGTTCAATGACGGCCCTTGGGTAAGGGCGATGTTAGTGAAGAGAAGCTCTAGAGGGCCGGTATGAAAAGCGACGTACTTGTAGATTTTGCCAGTGGTGATGTTGTTCTCATTGGTAAGATTGAGACCCAGGTAACGTTCATAGTTTCCGAGGTCAAGGTCAGATTCACCTCCATCCTAGGAAGGGTCAGCGCCATAGTCATGATAACACGGCTTGAGAGAGTAGGACGGTTAAGAGTCACCTTCAGAACGAAGCATTCTCCATGCCTAGGGGAAGCAAAGATAGTTAGTCGGTGCTGCGACATGTACATAACCATGCAACTACCCCACTTACTCGAGAGGACCTAGGGTTCCAGCATCTACGTTGAGGTAGGGGTCAATCTTGATTGCCTAGTAGCCAATTCAATGTCAGCACGAAGAACGAAAGGCTACAACACGTGAGAGAGAACGGGCAACTCATACCGTAACTTTAAGACCAGTGGTCTTGAGTAGAAGTCCGGAAGAAGAGGCTTGATAAATAGCATATCCGTAAGTAAGAGCCTGATGAGCGTGGGGTACAACAGGGCCGAAACCATCGCAAGTAGCAGCGTACCTATTATGCCTATAAGTCACTTCGTTAGTCAAGCCTGTAAATTCAAGAGATTGGTAGGAGGATATATATATTATATTTACGATACCTTTTCCAATGCCGCTGATGACACCACCGCTAACAAGCACGTACTTCATCTTGGCGGGAGATTGGCACGTGAAGCTGGTGAGTGCTTCGTGTGGTGTAGGTAGGTATCTGACGGGTTTGAGCGAGATAAGAGAGATAGATCTTCTCTCATGTAGTCTTCTTCCTCTCCTTTTTTTTAATTCCTTTAGGTATCTTTGTCCCTTTTTCGTTTATGTATTCTTCGTATTTTCGTAATTTTCTTCCCTTTTTTTTCTCTCTCCCTTCTGCTCTTTAAGGGAGTGAGTGAGTGGCAGTAATTGAGTGAGTGGATGCAGCCTGCAGCCTTCTTGTGCTGCAGGTTTAAGTGGTTGAAAAGTTTTTGCTGTGGAGCGTTGATGGTTTTTTTTTTTCTTTTCTTTTTTCCTTTCCTAGAGAGATCTTGAATGCCTACCTGGATACACTTACTTAGTGTAGTCATAGATGGTCCGTGCATAGACTTTGTTACCCTTGCTTGCCTTGCTAGGCCAGGCAGGTATTAGCGCCAAATCTTAGCGCCAGCCCTGTTTCCTTCGAGAGTTGCAATTGTCATGTGGGGAGTCCGTGTCGCCGGCTATACGTGCCTACTACCTACCTAGGCCCGTACTACCTACGTAGGTAGTGTAACCTCCTGCCTCCGTAGCGTCTGTTTTGGTCTTTGGAGAACTTCGTCTCTGATCTGACAGGACCTCAGTAGCCTCTGCACCTATCCTTATCACACTTTTCCGTAGCAATATCAACGCCCACGGGTGCCAAGAATATCGCCGAAGTTCACATTGAGAAACTGTGAAAAAGGTAAGAATTTATTTATGGGAAATAAAAATTGAAAGGTGTGTGCAAAAAAAAGTTATTGCTACCTTGGTTAGGTAGGAATAACATGTAATTGACCCTGACCCGACTCGAACGGATAACCTTCTGGACTGGAATCAGATGCGCTACCAATTGCGCCACAGAGTCATGTGAAAGAAAGTTCCGCAACTTAAGCTATATAATAATGTACTGCCAGCCGCTGTTCATACACAGTACATTACTTACATACCTACCAGGGGTACTCTAAAAGTTACTCTTATAAAAAAAAGAAAATTTTTTCTTATTGATATTTTTTAATATTTCTATATCTAGGTACCTACGTATTTATTTGTATATAGGTAAATGACTTCATTTAAAAGGCGGTGTTATAATAAAAAATATTTTCAAGTACTGTTACTATCTCTCTTACTATATATATAACTTAGGTGCGTTCCGTTACGACACCAAAGTGTCGCGCACAACCAAACAACTCAGATGCAGTCAAGTTATAGGACTAAGAGAGACTAAAAGATAAAGAGCTAGAAAATTGCAACTAGCAAACGGCAGTAGCAAGGCTTTTCATAACGTGCCGACTAGGCATTTACGACACATGACAGGCTTAAGAGAGGCCCCTCGTATGACACGGAGTTAATGGTAAGTGTTGCGGGTGGTGCTCTAAATCATGCAGTGAGTACATGGTGGTAGGTATGTAGGTACCTCTCAAGGGAATGAAGCAAGCGTAGGCATAAGTAACGGTCTTACAGGTAGCTTGAGTTAGGTAGTTGTTAGTTACATGTGTAGTTCTTCTAGTCTGTCGCAAGGTAAGATCGAAATTATGTAAGTCTTTGCTAGGCTCCTCGTGATATTCAGTGTTGATCTATCTAAATAGCGCAATGGGTGGGATAAGGCATGCTGGAAACTATCAAGACGAGCAACGTCACTGATTATGCCAACGCAACTAAGGCACATCGGTCAATATGGGGGTCATAGGTTTAAATGATGCTCATATGCGCGAACGACTCGGGGTGGTGGGGGGCACGCAGATGAAGAAAGAGTATATCAATCCCGCCCTACGAGTACATTCAGTGATCTCCCTATCCTACATTCTGTCATCGTCTATTTTCCGTCATACTAGTAGCGTATGTCCCCCCTCTCATTTCCTCCTGCTGCATCTTCTGAGAAACCTAGAGCAAGGAATATGGACTTGGTGCCTTAAAGTCTCGCGTATCTAGTTCATAAGTCTCCCAAACAGAAGTTGGCTTATAGTAAAAGTGTCTCGGTCTCCAGAACAGCAAATTCGCTCCGTGGATAATTACAGAGGAACCATCGACTCTAGGTATATGGGACATCGATATGGTTGTGAACAAGGTATCCTAACACCACCTACCTAGGAGCTCCAAGGGCGCAAAGAAGCTAACTGTGGTCTCCCATCAAGTACCATGCTGAGCAGTAGGTACTACGAAGAGCCCGATCCTACCCATCAACATCCACATAAATCGGATGAGTGTATTCCAGTCTAGCGCACAGAACAAGGCTACCTACTGTGGCCTCGCTTTCAGACGGCGAGACACCTGCACGCGCCGGCCGCTGACCTTAGGTATCCCCTTTCCACATATTTTGCCTCAGCATACCGCGAAGCCACAGCACTCGATACCCATATACCTAGTGAAGAGCGCGATCGTCTTCTATATGGCCCCTCCTGCGCCCACCTCCTCTCTACGGAAGCAGGACACACAGCCGACTGACACGGGGCGGGTGAAGGCTTCTGGAGTCCGCGTCCGGATGGCATGTGACCTGGGCATAACTCTCTGAGAGCTACGAGAAGGTCGAGGACCTCTGGTGGGGTGCCGGACCATGAAGTATAGGTACTACAGGGACTGGGATGAGTGCTGGCCCCTCCCGACCACAGCAACGATATGTTTGCGGATATTCACATCGCTCGGGACCACAGGCGGCCGCATGTCCAGAACCAGGAAATCGTACGGGGAGGCGGTGTGCGGGAGCAACCGCGCCGTGTCGTACCCCCTTGACATACACTAGATGACATGCTGGCGATGGTGAGGATGTTGATGTTTGGTTTGGCTTGCGCTGGGAGTTCGATCCTGACTTGGCACTTTGAGGCGGTAGGTACCTAGGGCTTTTCGTTGGTGGCTACCGGAGTGTGCCATTTCGGATTTATCCTATATCTTCAATGTAGAAGGTTGTCATATCTTCCCCATGTCTCTCTTATGAACATGTCCTGATAAGCCAAGAGTCGGGGATCGATTCGGGAAAACATAGGATAGGTTGCTTTCTCTTTCTTCCTCCTGTATTGTGTCTCCCTGTCAACCATCCTATTTATACTAGACTAGTCGAACCAGACGTGATCAACATAGAATAACGCAACTTTAGAGGTCATCTCAAGTTGCTAGGATTAAGCTCTGACCTAACCTTAGGTCCTATGCTATACCTAGCAGTTTCACTTGAGTAATACGTGAATATTTCCCTGTTATTCTGATACCTAATACTTACATCTACATACTACTCCGGGCATTCCAGTCATATAAAACACCTCCCTACCTACATACATAGATAGGTATATACTTAACCTAGTATATACGATATCGGTTTAAAAAGGGGTCCCTTGAACAAGCTATGCGCAACCGCGCCTAATGCGACCTCTAGACCGAGACCCGGCGCTAAATTCTCCGCTAGGACACCTATGGATTAATCTCGTACATACGGGGCGAGGTGAAGGTGCCCAATTTTCTACTAGATAGCCGACGAGTCTCCACCATGATAACCCTTTCGTTGGAGATCTCTCTCCTCAGGTACCAGCTACACTACTAATTGGTGCGGCAAAGGATTGACCCTCCTCCACCCGGGTGGTAGTACCCCATACCCCCTCTAGCCCCCCTAACCACCCCCATCAAAGTCGGACTTAAAGCGTCCGAATGTTCAAAGTCTCTCCTCCCATCTCCACCCCACACGCCCTCGTACAGGCACAAGAACTATCTCGCGAAGCGACTGGCCATTGGTCTGCGAGCCAGTAGGTACACAGCAAACCAGGTTCAGGAAAATTATCCAGTCAGCTGGTCGGAGTGCAGGATGGGCCTGGACGATAAATGGTCCAGAAGAGAGGGCAAGGGTAGTCCAGTAGTCCAACGCCTTGGGCCGCCCTGAGGCCAAGGGGATCGTGATCAAATATAATGGGCAGTGCCCCTCTTCTTCTTCTGCGTTGTTCCCCTCCTACTGCTTGGGTGAAACTCTCTTTTCACTTCGCTCTCTTCATATTCCCCTCGTCGTTATCTACTCGCCCTACCGTCCTCATTTCTCCAACATGAGCCAGACTGCCGTCGAGACGATTGTGAAGCCGTCGAAGGCCAACATCGGCATCTTCACAAATCCCAAGCATGATTTGTGGATAAGCGAAGCAGAGCCCACGCTCGAGAGCGTACAGAAGGGCGATGCCTTAAAACCTGGCCAGGTGACCATTGCCGTCAAGAGCACTGGAATATGCGGGTCAGGCAACCCTTTTTCTTATTCCTTGGGCGCATCCAAGCTTTAGCTAACCCTTTCTTGCAGATCCGACGTTCATTTCTGGCATGCAGGATGCATCGGGCCCATGATTGTAGAAGGAGATCACATCCTAGGACACGAATCGGCAGGCCAAGTCATCGCGGTGCACCCTTCAGTAACAAGCTTGAAAGTTGGAGATCGAGTTGCCATAGAACCACACGTCATCTGCAATGCCTGCGAGCCCTGCCTGACCGGTCGGTACAATGGTTGCGAAAACGTCGAGTTCTTATCGACACCACCGGTGCCCGGCCTGTTGAGGAGATACGTGAACCATCCTGCTATCTGGTGCCACAAGATCGGGAACATGTCGTATGAGAACGGGGCAATGCTGGAACCCCTTAGTGTCGCTCTCGCGGGGATGCAGAGATCTGGGATCAAGCTCGGCGACCCAGTGCTCGTTTGTGGTGCCGGCCCCATTGGATTGATCACCTTGCTATGCTGTCAAGCTGCTGGCGCTTGCCCGCTTGTGATCACCGATATCGATGAAGGGCGACTCAAGTTCGCCAAGGAGTTGTGCCCGTCAGTGATAACACACAAGGTGGAACGGTTGAGCGCCGAGGACTCTGCTAAAGCCATTGTGGCGTCCTTCGGCGGCATCGAGCCAGCCGTAGCCATGGAATGCACCGGTGTCGAGAGCAGCATTGCAGCATCCATCTGGGCAGTTAAGTTTGGGGGTAAAGTGTTCGTCATTGGAGTGGGAAAAAACGAGATCAACTTCCCCTTCATGCGCTGCAGCACACGGGAAGTAGATTTGCAATTCCAGTACCGGTACAGCAACACGTGGCCCCGGGCCATCCGGCTGGTTGAGAACGGCGTAGTTCAGCTCTCGAAACTGGTCACCCATCGGTTCAAACTTGAAGATGCCATAGAGGCCTTCAATACTGCGGCAGACCCGAAGACGGGAGCCATCAAGATCCTAATACAGAGCGCCGATTAGTGTTGATAGCACATAGGTCGGTTGCCATCCGCCCGATGGCTCATTTCATGAGCGTACTGGGACCCTTTAAGTATTCGATGCTTGGATATGGCGAGATCAGGTAGCCAGGCTGGCTAGATAGAGGGCTACCTATGCCGCGATACCGCATGTGCTTATATGTTAGTCAGTCAATTAGTTAGTCGATATGCTAGAGCACTATTTGTTTGGAGTAGAGGTTGGATTTGTCTCTCTATGTTAGGTACTATATAGGTAACAGCAAGGTGTGTGGATGGGATAGATATCTGAGAAACAAGGAATAGGAAGAAAAAAAAGTAGTAAACTGTCTCCTACTTAATCTGCCTATCAAGATCCATAGTGAACATGCCTATCTAAGGTCAGCGCTATGCACGGCTACCTACTTACTTAGTATATGTGCAGCTATAGACATTATGTAGGTAAGTACTTAAGTAAGTACTTACTAAGTAAGAGCTGTAGCTGTCTGGTACTTGAGGTAGCAGTATGGAGGTAGGCAGGTACTTACTTACATAGCATTAGCGAGAGCGTGTTATATGATTGGCCAATGCATAACTATGGGTCCCACCGGAGGGTCCAAGCTCGGATCGGGTTTTTCCGCCAGGAAACACTGGGACCGAATTTTTGACAGCCGAATGCATTTGAACAGGATCGGAATATC